ATTGTTTAAAGTTACACATGAAACTGAACATGTGAAATGAGCAGATCAGAAATGCAACGTCTACCCTCCTGCTCTGTTACTAAGCTTAACTAGTTACCTATGGGCTTTTGCACTGAAATATCCCAGCAATTTCATGCTGAAAACAGCCATTTTGGCAGTTCCACTAGAAGTCCATAAAGAGTTTGAAGAAGTGCACCTAGCCCTAAGATAATTTTGTCTTTCCTTAAAATATAGTAACTGGTCCTTGAGCCTGCTTATGAATTAAATCTAGCTTTTGTCCATCTCTCAGATGTTCAACTTAAAATTCCCACTAATTATTTGAAGTAACTATTTGGTACATAACGCTTCTGTACTTTCAACTAGTCTCCCTACTTCCTCTGTTGACCTCCCCCTTGCTGCTAATCTGTTTTCCACCTAGCAGCCCGAAGGAGCTAATAAAAACAGGAATCTGATTCTATCATTCTTCTGCTTAAAACACTTGTGCTGGCTTCCCATTGAACTTTCCATCAAAATCTTTCATTTTATACAATCTCCCCATTCCGTCCCAGCCAGTCTCACGGTGGCCTACTTTGCTGTCTCTGGAACCCCCGTGTTCTTTTCTGCCCTAGGACACAGCCTGGGTGCACCCTGCAAAGCTGGCTCCTTTTCATGCTCGGGTGTCAGTTTACATCTGAGCCTGAACACCCTATCTAACAGTGACAATTAAAGGCAAGCCTGTGTCAGTACCTTGTTTTCTCCATAATACATGTTGTAATACACTTTTTTGTCTGTTCCCCCCATAAGATGTACGTCCCATGTTTTGCTCACTCTACTGTCCACACATAGGGAAGAAGGGCTAGCATAAGGCTTGGCATTAAGTATGAATGAAAAATTTAAAAATGATTTGTGAGTGATCAAACTGTCTCATCCACAGTTAATCTCAGCTGTTGTTTAGCTCTTTACTCTGCCTCTCACCTGTCCGTCTACTGCCTCTTACCACGTGGATTAAGTGCTCCGTTACATAATCAAGACTTTTCTCTCTTACCTTGCTCTTCAGTTGTTCCCAGCTCCTCCCTACTCCCTAAACATGCCAACTAAATTGTCCCGTTTTAAAAATCCATCCCCTTTTCGCATCTACCACTGTGTTAGACAACGGACTAGGTATTTCAAAAGCGACTGAGTTCATTAGTTTCATGTATCGGGCATCAAATCCTTGGCGTGAGTCATTGTGGTGCAGTGCACCTGCTGTGCATTTATTAGTAACTGGTGGTTAGGAAGTTGGAGACAATAACCCAAGGAAATCAGAGTATACCCCAACTTATTATCTCAAATTATTTTTAAGTATCTAAATCTCCAGCTCAGCAAATCAAAATGCTTAAAACGCACGTGTTAAGGCCTAAATGTTATGGTAGGAAAGTATACCTACCAGTTTTCAGTTTCTGCTTTGCGAACTTTGTGAGCAGTAGTCACGGTTACCTCCCCAGCAATACCGTAACTTCCAAAGGGAGCACATTTGTCACCAGATCCTGAACTTTTTTTAGCTACATCTTCTACTGGGAAAGCAACAGAAAGGAAAACAGGGCTTTTTGGCCTGGGGACATCTTGTCCACTTGGAGGATTAGCATTCTGGGGACTTAGGGTCTGTTTCTGGAATTTCTCATCTGCAGGAACAGCAATGGGCACTTGCATTGCAACATATCTCAAGACATCTGACTGTGAAACGACAGCATGTCCAGGAAGAGGTTTCCATCCCTGTGCTTCCTGAACATTTGAGCCTACTAAGATAAAAGGTGGGGCACTGGTCTTCTTGGTGTCGCCCATCACATAAGTTGGAAAAGTGACTTTTGGTGGATGCTGCAGAAACTGTGGATCCTGAGGATTAGATAAATAGAGGGTTGCTTGGGGGAAAGGCCCAGGTGCAGGTGGCGGTGATGGGTGACCTTGTTGATTCTTATCAGTTAGACAATAAAGGGTCCACATGTTAGAATATGGTGGTGGCTGTCCTCGTTCACTTGCTGCCATTGCTATAAAAAAAAATTTTGCAGGAATTAAAGTTTTAGTCTCTGTATCAGGCATTATGCATAGTAATGTCTCTAAGTCTCTTTTACATATAACACAGCTGTAGTGACATGCACCATAGAGCATGCTATAGAGAGGGCTGCATAATTGTGTTTGACAGTGTGAAAGAGATTCTCTACAGTTGAAAAACGAGAACAGTGTTGTGATGGCAAGTGGCAGGGACACTACAGTTGTGGCTGAAGAAGAATCTTACTCTAAGTTGCTATTTCCAGCTACTTCAACTTTAGATGTGGCTTCTGTAGGATCCTTACAGAGGAAACTGGACAGTCAACGCAACCTTTTGCTTTACCCAAAAGTCAATTGAAGAGTGTGTTAAGCCATTAAAGGAAGCGTTAATGCATCTGCATAGTGTTTTATTTCCTAAAGAAGTTAGGACTAGGTATCATCTTCACCACATAATCAAATCTCTCTGGCCCTTCACAGGCACCATTATCTCCCATTCATTTGTTACCACACATAAAACGTCACATAATCTGGGATTCAGAACCTCAGAGAGCACCCCTTTTAGGCAAGACTTGAAATCATAGGTCCTAGGTGGCAGTAAAAGGCTGGTTGGCCCCACAGGGATTCTTTGGGTTGAGAAAAAGAGGTTTAGGAGTGCCACCTATAATGCAAGTGTGACCCGCCTCTTGAAGACAGTACTGTCTTAGACGAGTTTCACTTTGCCCAAATGTGCCGCGTTCACCTTTTGAACACTGGGCCATCTATCCCCAGTGCAGCCTTTTTCCCCTGAAAAGAACGTAACACTACGCACAGGATTAAGTGGCCATTTTCCCAATAGCTTCAGATACTTTCAAGTGATCTTTTTTTTTAAGCTTGTTGAAAAATATGTCCAAGCCAGGTCTTCACTGTCTCACAGGAAGAGAGGGTTTGATAGTCTGCATTTTTTTGTTAATATCCTCTTAGTGTTGTGGACAACTCCGTTTTCCTTTAGAAATAGTTAAGCATTTGAAAACAGTGACTTGGTCTGGACATGCTGCGTAAGCCACAAATATAGCGCCAGTCCCACACGCTGCACTCCCAGTGCTGCCCTCTGCCTTTGCAGCTGTGCAGAATCCCTGTCACATTGCCAGACAAAATGTGATCTTTTCTAAACACCTGCTTTGCTAACACTTTTTGAATCACTCTGGCTTGGTTAAGAGTCAGGGTTGAGAGATTTTGCAAAAGGAATGGGGGCTTGGCTCATACATGTCCCTCTGTCCCTAAAAAGGGCCCCTGCAATTATCCATGAGGCAGGAGGGTGAGCAGACCAAATGCCATAATTAGATGGAGATGAAGGCCACATCACGTCTGTGTCGCAGGAAAACATGGTGATAGTTCAACAGCCAAGAAAGCAGCTTGATTTTGGCACTTGCCAGGGAGAGGGAACTGATCAAAGGAAGCCAATTACGTGAACTGCATCTATTGCTGTTCAAGTGCCAGGCTGTCCTTTCCACCGCTGATACCTCCCAGCTCCCGTGACCTCTCCCCTCTCCATCTAGCTATGAAGCTGCTCTTCAGCTGCAGGAAGCTCCCAGGCAGAAAACAAAACGCATGGCCCAGCACCCCAAACCTGGTTACAGAGCTCTCCTGACTCAGTGTGAAAGCAGTCAAACACGCCACCATTTTTTCACTTTTTAAAATGCCATAGCCTATGTAAATGCATTGCTGTAGTTTAATTTTAGATTCACAAGAGGAAAATTTCAAACCAACACCCTCTAATTACAGTTTTGCAATCAACTTATTCGGATCACATGAATATATTTTGTACCTGACAACAGGCTATATTGTTGTTGACTACATAATATGTCCAAAAGAATAACACAAAAGTGCTGGATGACCAAACTGAGGCCAGGCTCTGGGGACGTCACTTTAAAATCACTCCTGTCATAGTAGTAGAATCTCAAATACAACAAAGCCTTTAAATAGCTTTGGCATTTTAAAATAATCTATTGAAAATAAAGACTGACCAATCTGCAGGGAGCCTACATAGATGGCAACCTGAAATACAGATGTCACCTGAAATGCAATTTGTAATGGAAATACCTGATTTTCTTACCTGGCTTTATCAAACCTTATTCAGCTGTTGCTTCCCCTTCTGGTTCAATTTCTGGTGCAGTAAGGCCTTCTGGAGCAGGAGGGAAGGGGCCACTAGATGACTTTACAGATGTACCTGAGTGCACTGCTTCTGCAGCTTCCCCAGAGAGCACAGGTTTGCCTTCCATCTCCTGGGGTAGAGAGTTTTCCCCAGACTCCTCCTGCCCAGTATTGTCAGAGACTATTGAAGTGATCCCCACTTCAAGGTGCAGAGATTTTTCAGAGCCTATTTTGATAGCGCCCTCTGCATCCAGGAGTTGTGCAGGTACCTCAGGCTGACCTTTCAAAGATGTGTCAGAGAGCAGAGCTGCTGCTTCTGCCTCCATATATACTGAGGAATATTTTGCATTCTCCTCCAACTGTGCAAGTTCTACAGACTCTACAGATTTTTTAGATATGCCAGAGGTGGTCTTTTCTACTACAGATTTGGGACTAACTGGTGGTGACTGCTCATTTTCTTTAAGACAAGCAACTTGATCAGTAAAAGGGGTAACTATTTGTTCTGGCAGTTGCTCGATATAAACAACTCCTTCAATCACAGGCACATCGTCATAGACAGATGATATATGAACAGTTGACATAACCTCAATATCAGCCTGCAAAGTGACCTCAGGAGCTTGATCATAAGCAGGAGGTTCTTGTTCATCCTGCAAGGGGACTGAGGAAGCCGTTGATTGTTCAGCCTCATTTTCTTTAGGTTGAGAACCCAAATCTACATGGACAGATGTTTGGCTCACAACCTGCACTTCTAGCACCTTTCCAGAACACACAAGAGGAGCAGCCACCATGACATCTTCAGCAGCCTCTGAGCTTGGCACCTCCTCGATAACAACAGGCATACTGGTTGCCACATCCACCATTAAAACATCAGATTGATCAGAATGAATAGATGAAACTTTACCTAACATCTGAGCAGCAAGCTGAGCTGGGTCAGCTGGGACGTAGGCAAACTCTGGTGAGACAGCTGTTGGAGGTGGTGATGAGGGTGGGGTAGTAGCCTTAGGGGTGGCTGGTTTGGAAGAAGAATCACCAACTGCTTCAGTTTGCTCAGCACCTGGCTCAGCATAAACTGATGGAAACTGGGTGGTTTTGTCACTATATTCTGTTCTGGTTACATTGTCCTCGTCTGTGTCTGTAGATTTTTCCATCTGGGTAGGTACTTTAGATTCTACAGTTGTTTTTTCTGGTTCTTTTAAACATTCTAATTTCTTCTGTGGTGTCGTTCCTTCTGACCATTTCTCTACTAAAACACAACAACCAGATGGGTTAATTAGCATCTATGCCCCAAAAAAATATTTTTAAAGAAGGCAATAATAGGGATGTGGTGGCTCATGCCTGTAATCCCAGCACTTTGGAAGGCTGAGGTGGGAGGATTGCTTGAGCCCAGGAGTTCAAGACCAACCTGGACAACAGTGAGACCCCATCTTTACCTCTCCCTCCCACCCAAAAAAAAAGCAATAATGGGTTGAGCATTCAGATGTCAGTAGAGACACAAATATAAAAGAGTTTTCAGCTTTGTTTTCCAACATCTGTAGTGTGGGTAATAAAACATTCCTGTCCTTCTCTACTCCAAGACCCTCAATTCATTTCCTTAGAAATAAGTGACTCTCAATAGCGCAGTGGCAAGACTAATAATCAGATATCATCCTAAGGTGGTTAGCATCAAGGGAAAGATGATAAGATCATAACTTTGTGCCTAGAAATAAGGAAGCTGAAAACCTCCATGGAAAAAGCTCCTGATCAAACTTCCACACAAAACTGGGGGAAGAGGTTGGGTCGGAGGGAGACCAACTTGGGCAGTAAATTATTTCATCTTTGTTGGTGTAGTAACTTAGTAATGACATAGATGCTGCATATTAATAAAGGCATTCCTCCATTTAAGAAAGTTGGTATATAAAGTTTAACTTAATGAACTGATAAGCTAGAGGACTATAGGATTTTTTTTTTTTTACATTAGGAAAGTCACATATTCTAACCTAAAAATGCTAGCAGCTGCTAGTGATGTGTGATCATACAGCCACAGTCAGACTGACCCAGCCAAGAGGAAAAGAAAGAAATCTCTGGATTTCAAAGTGTAGACTTAAGTGAATCCTCAGGCATGAGGAAAATTCTCATGGGTTGGAAGGTCACAACAGCTGATGACATATACAAAATCCTAGAGCTGGAAAACTGCTGTAATATTTTATGTGCATCACCCACACACCTAACTACCTTAGTCGTTAACTCATCAAAAGTTTTCACATCTGTTTGCTGAGAATTTTCCTTTGGGAAGCATTTCTCTAATGAAATTTACAAGAAAAGCAGAATTTGCTTCAAAAGAATATATTTGGCTTAAGTCAAAACTTTGGGGACATATTTTCAATAGGTTCAGCGGCATTCTGAAAAGCAGTGTCCTGCAGTGTCTCCTTTGACATTGGCTGCTGATGTTTTATAAATTCAATTAAGATTTCTAATACTGGACATGGACATTATACCAAATGCTCACATGCAGAGAAAGATTCAAAAAGAGAGAACGCCACATCTATCGTTACCTCCCTCTGCTTAGAACAATAACCTCATTTTCCTAACCATTCACCTCCTTCAGGACTTTCCCATCCACTTTTTAGGAAAGCCCTTTTACCCACCAACACGTTTGACTGAGTGCTTGTGCTACATGCTACATGTACGAGTGGTCTAGGCACTATTGAGGATAGAAAGACTGTTAAGACGAGACCTCATATAGCTTACATTTAATAGGGGAAATAAGATAGACAAATATAGGTTAAAAAGTTCAAGTACCTAACTGGTACTAATAAAGATCTTAGAGTTCAGAGGAGGGGGAAAATCTTTTTTTTTTTTTTTTAAATGGAGTCTTGCTCTGTTGCCCAGGCTAGAATGCAGTGGCGCCATCTTGGCTCACTGCAACCTCTGCCTCCCAGGTTCAAAAAAAAAAAAAAAAAAGTATTCATCTAACTTCCCAAGTAGAGTGGAAATCTATTTTTTACTTTGTATTCCTAGAACCCAGAACAATCTCTGCCTATTACTGTGGCTGTAAGTTTGGCTATACCTGGGAGGCTGGAAAGTCTGAGATCAAGGTACCAGCAGATTCCATAGCCTGCTTTCCGGTTCACAGATGGTGCCTTCTCACTGTGTCCTCACAGGGTGGAAGGGCAGGCCCTGGGGCCTCTTTCAAAAGGGCACTAATTCCATTTATGAGGGCTCTACCCTCATGACCTAATCACCTCTCCAAAGCCCCACATCCTAATACCATCACATTGAGATTAGGCTTCAACAAATGAATTTCAGGGGAACACACATTTAATCTTGTCTTAGTCTGTTTTCTGTGGCTGTAACAGAATATCTAATGTTGGGTCATTTATTTTATTTATTTATTTATTTATTTTTATTTATTTATTTTTTTGAGACGGAGTCTCGCTCTGTCGCCCAGGCTGGAGTGCATGTGGCCGGTTCTCTCAGCTTCACTGCAAGCTCCACCTCCCAGGGTTTACACCATTCTCTAGCCCTCAGCCTCCCGAGTAGCTGGGACTACAGGCGCCGCACACCTGCCCCGGCTAGTTTTTGTAGTTTTTATAGTAAAGACTGGGTGTTTCACCGTGTCTAGCTGCGGATGGTCTCGATCTCCTGACCTTCGTGATCTGCCTCTAGGTCCTCCTCAAGAGTGCTGGGATTACAAGGCTTCAGCACCGCGCCCGGACCGGGTCCATTTATTTTTTAACATATTCTTTTTTCCCTATTTTTGAGATAGTCTTGCTCTGTCTCCCCAGGGCTGTAGTGCAGCGGTGGACTCAGCTCACTGGCAACCTCTGCCTCCTGGATGCAAGCAATTCTAGTGCCGTCAGTCTCCTAAGCAGCTGGGATTATAGGTTCCCACCACCATGCCTGCTAATTTTTTTTTTTTTTTTTTTTTTAGTAGAAAGGAAAATGGGATTTCACCATGTGGTCAGGCTGGTCTTGAACTCTGACTTCAAGTGATCCATGCACCCTCAGACCCTCCCAAAATGCTGGATTACAGGTGTGAGCCCCTGTGCCGGCCCTAAGAAAATATTGTTTGCGATTTAGAGTCTGGGAAGGTCCAAGAGTCCTCTGCTGAGGCCTTCTGCATACATCGTAACATGACAGAGAGCATTCTACATGTCAGAACAAGAGCGATGGCCATTCAGGTTTCTTGCTCCTTTTCTTTCTTTACTTTTTGGAGATAGGGTCCATCACTACTGTTTGCCACAGGCTGGAGGTGCAAGAAGCATGATCTGTGACTCATACAAGCTCAACTGCCTTGGCTCAAGAATTCCTTCCACCCTCAGCCTCCCAAGTAGCTGGGACTCACAGGCACACACCAACAAACATCATGGCTAATTTTTAAAAGTTATTGGTAGAGGTGGGGTCCCTCAGCTATATTGTCCAGGCTGGTAGGCTTGTCCTGACTATTCTGGGTTCAAGCAATTCTCCTGCCTCAGTCGTCGAAAAGTGCTGGGATTACAGATGTGAGCACTGTACCCAGACTCTTCTTTTTCTTAGAAAGCCACCAGTTCCATTCATAGGGGCTGCACCCTAAGCTTTTTTCTTGTCTTTTTTGAGACAGAGTCCTTCTCGATCCACTCCAGGCTGAAAGTGCAAGTGTTATGATCTTTGGCTCATGCCACCTCTGCCCCCCAAGGTTCAAGAGATTCTCCTGCTCAGCCTCCCGAGGTAGCTGGGACCTAATAGGCATGCACTACCACCCTGGCTAATTTTTTCTATTTTTTAGTAGAGAAGGGTTTTCACCATGTTGGCCAGGCTTGGCCTCCAACTCCGTGACCTCAGGTGATCACTCTCACTCGGCCTCCCA